GACAGGTATTAGACACAGGATAGTTTGGGTGCTGGGGAGGGAGGCAATATACAAGAAGGGAGAGGGGAATGGAAGAACAAAGCAGATGGGAGAACAATTAGGCAGGTTTGAATGGGCTAAGTGGGACAGAGGTAAATAGTGATGTAGGCACAACCTTGTAACAACAGGACTCTGGGATACAGAGATTAAGACATGGTTGGAATGGGGAAATAATGTTAAGATGCTTGGCTGTCTTTTGAATCTTGGTTCTCCTTGCATTATATTATAAAATAGACACTGGAGGGGGATAGAAAGGAATAGCCAGAAACATCACCATAGAAAGACTGTAAGTCCATTTTCTGCCTATAACTGATTGGAATACCTAAAATGGGGCTACAACATTCCCAGTGAAGGAGTCTTCCTGTAGAGCCTCTGCAATACATAAGACTATAAGTGGAAGCCTGAACCACATCCAGATCTTCAGCGATGGGAATTTTCCACTTGAAAGGACAAGCAGACCAGCCTGGAGTGGCTAGAAGCACAGAAAATAATTCTTGAAAGAAAGACCTACAGGAAAAATACAAAACAATAGAGGCAGAGTGACTGTTACTACAAGAACAAACAAGTTGCTTGCCCAGGAAACATCAAGGCAAGTGGTCGAGTACCCTCAGTACAAACCTCCTTCCAAGACTAAGACTCAATGGGAATGCACGCTCTGATTGGTGACCACACTCGTCACCAACAAGGGGAAGTGCAGGAAAAACAGCAATGAAGTGGCAAGCTAAGTCCTACAATGTTCAATAGACTTCTGTGAACCCGGGTGAAGACCTGGTTGACCAGCAGAGTGGCAAGACCTGGGGACTCTTGAGCCCAGAGTCAGTGACATAGCCACAGAGGACAAGAGTGGAGAGTGAAGTGTCCAGCGGATAAGAAGAGAGGTCATATGCACAAAAACACCCACACTTTCAGATAATACCCACTTGACCTGGTTTCAATGACTGGATGATCAAAGCTCAACCAGAAGAAAGAAGAGGAAAAAAAGAGTAATCTGATACAATTTGATGAACTTGACCTACACATATGGATGCAGTATCTCAAAAGAGGGAACAAATCTTTACAGCAAGAATCATTCCCACCCCCTCCACATACAGAGTAGACAGGGATGGGCAACTTGGACATTGGCTACCC